CATGTCATAACTCATTGTGTCAGCCACTCCTGTTTGATCCCAGTGGATTTGTCCTCTTGTATTTAACCTCAGCAGCACTAATTATGTGCTGGGAACACAACAGCTGGGAATTAAGCAGCCTTTGGTACTTCTTTTCCATAAAATCTCTCCATCCCATTCTTCAATCCTGTTGTGCACAGAGGAAAACCACAAAACTTCATATTTTCCCCTCTCCCCTTCACTTTGCCTCCTCTTTTCCTGTAGGATTTGGGCTATCCAGTCTTGGATGTGGATTAGGCAGAGCACCTTGGAAGCTCATCTCAAGGTGGGATTGGAGCAGTGTTAGCACCACCATGGGTTCTCCCAAGGTTTGTTGTGAGGAGCTGCATCTTGGGAAGGGCTGGAATTTTGTACTGTTCTGGGCTTCTTTTCCTTTTTTTGCCTTTTGGGCCACCTCAGAGGAAAAGCTGGAAACCAAACCAACTGAAGGGGATTCCCAAATTCCTTTCCAGACCTTCAGAGGAGGCCCAAATCCACATGGAGCTGAGAAGAGGGATGTGAGGAGAATGGGAATAATTGAGCCTCAGGACTCTGCATTTCATTCTTTTAATGTGTTTGGAGGTGCAGGAAAAATGAAATCGCAAAGAAATTCTGTGTCTGTAACATCAAGTGTAACCTCTTTAAAGCCAAGTCCTCGGAGCAGGGTTTTCCCCAGGGTAAATCCAGATGTGACATGGAAAATTCTCAGCAAGGATTTCCAGCCTTGACTACACAGCTTTTGGAAAAGCTTAGTAGCCGAACAATATCAAATTTATATCAGATTTCTATCAAGTGTGGTGTTTACATCTGGGACCACTCAGTTCCCTGGGTGTCAAAGTCCTTCAAGTAGCAAAGCTGAGCTTTTGAGAATTCTTTGCGTTTTTGAGAATTCCAAGTGTCCCTAAGATTCTTAATACAATATTTAAATGATTAATACTTAGTTGAGACAATATAAAGTGGATTTGTTAGAGTGGCAGAAATGTTTTTTTCACCTGGAAGTTTGTTGGGATAATCAACATTCCTTATGTCAGAATTAACTGGTCCTCGAAGTCCTTCAAGTAGCAAAGCTGAGCCGTTTTTGAGAATTCCAAGTGTCCCTAAGATTCTTAATACAATATTTAAATGATTAATACTTAGTTGAGACAATATAAAGTGGATTTGTTAGAGTGGCAGAAATGTTTTTTTCACCTGGAAGTGTGTTGGGATAATCAACTTTCCTTATGTCAGAATTAACTGGTCCTACTTTTCTTTCTAGATTGTGGATAATTGGGGAGAATATTTGGGATACAGAAATGAAATGCACAAGGAAAGTTTCATGTTCTCAAGGGAATGCTTTAGGAATGTACAGCTTCTGAACTGCACAAGTAGAGTCAGGCTCCCACAGAAACCTTCAAAAGCTGGAAGGGACAGGGAAGAAAATTCCAAGAGTGGTGTGGGAACTGCTTTCTCTTAGGTCTGGACACTGCTGAGGTTGGAATGACTTAAAAATATTCCTTGTGCCTCTCTTGTTCCCAGCCCAGGACTAAGTTGGTGCTCTCTGAGTGGCTGCAGCTCCCTGGATGTGGAGGGAGGAGGTCTCTGCTGGAGAGTGGGAGAAATGTCTCTGCTGGTTGCTGGGTCCTCGGTGGGCAGAGAACTCTGATTATGGCAAGATGGGTTTGTGAATATTGAACCAATCCTACCTCCTTTTTAATGAGTTGTATCAATTAGTCATCAGCAGGGACCACTTTTAGCCAGCTTTAGTTAAGTTCCTTTTCCACAGATTTCTTGATGTTTTGATCATGACATCAGCAAAACCTTAAGTTTGATAAATTAACCCTGAAAAGCTTCAATGAACAAATCCTGAGGGAATTGGGGATTGGATATCTGGGATCTTATGGCCCTTCAAGGACATGTTAGGTTTACCCACTGATTTTGCTTTCAAGGGAAACTCCAAGATAAGAATAATCAAAATATGAATCAGTTCTCATGAAACTCAGCTTTTCAAAGCTTTATTTAGGATCAAAAAAGATGGGAATGCCTTTGGCAGAAAAGCACCTGTGAAGCAAAGCAGACTTTAAATGCCTGTAACAAGATTACAGAAAATCCTCATGTGCATATATATGTATATACACACACACATATATAGATAGATATAGATTTTTTTATAGCAGTTGAAGGTAAACTGTCAGGGCTGGGTTTGGAAATATTGTTTTACAATAAAGTATTCTATAATTATGCATGTGATGTTTAATATTTAATATACAAAATTAAATTATTTGCCAATTTTAGAGTACTGCATTGAAAGTCTATGTGATTTTGCTTCTTTCCCTGTTCCAGGAGAGTGCTTAGTTATCTATAAGGTTGTAACATCGGAACCGCCAATTTCAGTGCCTATATCTGGACTTGATATATTATCTGTATTATTGTTTAGATGCATTGTTTTAGACAGAACTAGGGGGCTGGAAGAGAAAATTGAAGAAAAAAGTTGTAGAGAAGGGGCAGAGCAAGAATGTAGAGAACGTAATTTAGGATTGAAACCCACGAGTCTGCTGGTTCAGTCTCCTGGCAGGAAGTGGTGAAGGAGATCAGTCGGTGTTGAACGGAGGTGTTCCGTGGGTTTGCTCCAGCCAGACGAGGATGTGGGGGACACTCTGCACCCCAGCCAGGGCAGGGAGGGCTGAGAGGGACAGGGGGGTCTCCCCAGCCTGCTGGGAGTGGTGTCACACGAGGCAGATGGCTACAAAAGTTCATTATCCTTATGGAGATGGGTCCATGCTGTCTGTTTGCCATGTACCTGAGACCCCTGGCATGGTCTGGGTCTCATTTTGTAAAGGGTGAGTGTTGCACAGAACTAGTCTGAATTATAATTTGAGATGTTGTGTGCTGTGGGCTTTGGGGCATACTTTTTTGTTTTGAATGGGTCACACTGGAAAGTTTCATGTATAGGTGGCTCTGATCTGCTGGGTTTTGTGCTGCTTGTCCCACTGCAAGCTCTGAGCAAAGGAAGGACGTGGCAGCTCTCTCACTGAGTTGGCATCCTTGGCCTCAGCACTTATGAAAGCAGCAGGCAGGTTTCTTGCCTGCTGAATCACTTCTTGTGGTGTTAAGGCTGACATCCAGTGCTAAAGAAAATTCCTCTCTTTTCATGTGACAGCAGCACTGACTTGGGCAGAGTACTAAAAACCTCAGAATTTCAGGTGTGACACAAAAGAAAGCTTAGAGTGCAAAAAGGTTAATGTGTGCCCAAATTGCCTCTGGAGGCAGTTCTGCTGTCTGTCCTCACACAATTGTGTCTTCTGAAAATGTGACCATTTTATTCATTGTGCTGTACAAAACACTTCTCATAATTACAAGGAAACAGATGATACTAAAACTCAAAGGAATTTGGATGTGTAGAAGCAACCTATTTTTTCTTCTCCAGTGCAAGGTGCTTGATGTTAGGAAGTACTGAAAAGCAAGGAAATGGTTATAGTCGAGTTGGTTTCTCTGTATTTATTATTTCCCGCCCCCCCCCCTTTTTTTTTTTAAACAGAGGAGTGACTGGGAAGGTTACAGGAACTAAAGCTGGATGTAATAAATCCCATGATCTTAAAAAGAAAAGAGGCTTAATGGAGAAGTTAACAGTCCTGTGAGGGGATTGTTTTTGAACTCAGAGGAAGTAGACTGCAGAACCATGAAATGCCACCTGAAGGAGCCTAAGTCAAATTGGACTTTTTTGTCATTTCCTCATATTGTTTTTCTTATTTTTAACCTCAAGGGCTGACACTGTCTAGCCTACCCCAGCACGGCATTGGATGGATCCTTCTGTCTCTGCTGGAGGTGTAGCTTCACAGCCCAGGGGAGGAGTCACGGCTGGGGCAGGGGAGGCCGAACCTGCTGCCAGTGGGCTGGCAGGGCGACTGGCCTGATTGAAACAACTGGACACAGTGCAGTCACAAAGGGACTGTGCTTCTACCCAAGCTCCTGCCAGGATTGTGGACATGGGTGGAAATTAAGGGAAAGTGACCCAGATCAAGCTATTTTGTGAAATTGTGTTTGTTAGGGAAAGAAGGTAAGGATGATAAATCTTGGGCTGAATGAGTTTTTTTTTTTCCATGAAATGCCAAAAGCAATATTGGGAAACTTACAGATTCTGTTGGTAATGGCTATATACTCCTGCACTTATCCTATTAGTTTTTCTTTCAAATACTGGAAATTCAGAGACTATTCAAATGGAATTGTCTTCTGTCCACGTGGTATTTTCTTGGTTGTTAAAAAAAACCCCCAAAAAACAAAAAAATAAACAACACAACAAACTCAGTCAGTAATAGTTAAAACTCTTGAAATGCAATTACTCATGACCAATGAAAATGGCTGTATGACAGGCAAGGAACACAGCCAGGAGCAGGTGATGCCTTAATTCTTGAGTGGAGACCAACCTGTTGTCCCTAGTGGGGAAACTTCTCTACCCCTTCAGAGCACAGGGACTGAATTTGGTTTGATTTGAACCAAGGCAGTCCAGGCTTTCCCTGCCCTCTTAGGTGGGGCAGCCACCAGCCTGTGACACTGGAGCTGGGGAGGAACTTCAACTCTTCTGAGCGCTGACCTTTATTATTCCAGAGTCCTTTTGGGAGGATGTACACATGTAAATTGTTAAAGCAACATGCTGCTCTCCAGGGCAGTTTGACTCGTTTTGACTCACCCTTCTCCAGGGGTGGGGGAGGAGGTGGGGACTCGGGGGCTCTGATGTCATTTGGGGCACCCCAATGTCTCTGGGAGAGCCAGGATGCTGTGGAGAAGCAGGTGAGTGGGGAATGAGGGGGCTCATGCTTGGGTGCCCTCTCCCAGAGGGACCCAAAACTGCTGGAAAATTCACAGGGAGGGGGTGTGTGTACAATACTAAAACCTGTCAAGTTTTTAATTTTTCATAGATTGACAAATAATAGTTATATATTAATTCATTTCAAAATAAGCCCTATCTATTATATACAGGAATGTAAGAAACTCTGAATGGAGATCTGTAGGGTTTGAAAGTAATGACATAACGTTTTTATATATGAATGAAACAATCAAGTGCCTGAAAACATAAGAAGATATGATCGGGGTGAAGGAAATAAAAAGCGCTCTATCCCAGCTTTTCCCTCCGCTCTCTCGCCACCCCACACGGTCGCGGCCCCCGGCTGAGCTGTGCGGTGGCGCTGCCGCCTCCGACACCGCCCCGACCGTCCCCGCTGTTCCCGGCTGGGTGACACGGGACACTGGCGCGGCTGCCGAGCACGGGAAGAGCAAGAGCCGGGACCGAGCGAGGCCATGTCTAGAAACAGAGCGGAGGGGTGAAGGCGAGTCAAGGGTGCAAACAGTCAGGACCATGAGCGGGGCCAGGCGAAAGGAGTGCAAGGCGGTGACTGAGAAGAATGACGGACGTGGCGCCGGTTGTGCCGGGCGGCAGAAGCGCGGCCGCACCGTGACACGGGCCGGGGATACCGGGCGGGCACGGCGCGGATGGAGCTGCCTGTGTGCCACTCTCAATATGGCGGCGCGAAAAAGGACGCCGCAGTTCGCCACCCCCAAGACGACAGAAGTGGCAAGAAAATCACGTGACAGGACACTACAGAGAGGCGGCCGGAGTTGAGCCACACTCAAAATGGCAGACAGATGCGTCCGTCTTCCCACTGCGCAGCTCCCGCCAGTCCCCGGCGCCGTTGACGCCACCAGCCGTGTTCCCACACCGGGAAACATCATGAAAAATGTCTCTGAAAGCGCCGGGTCGGCGTAGGAGTCAAGTGTGGGGATTTCAGGCCGCCGAAAAGACAGACGCCCTTTTGAGGAGCGGGGGACCTTAACTGTACCACACCGAAGATGGCGGCTTAGCTGGCGATGGCTTCCGCCAGCACCCAAGGTGGCGACGAAGGTCGGAAGTCACGTGATTCCGCACAAAAAATGGTGGTTTAGCAACGCTGCTTCGCGCACGCCCAAAGATGGCGGCATCGCGCGCATGCGCTTTGACAAAAAAAGGACAGGGCAGGTGGGGGGCAGGTCGGGGTGCGCAGGGCAGGGGGCTGGGGGGAAGGAGGGAGAGAACTGAAGTCATGTTGGGGGGAAGGAGGAGGATGGTTGGGGGGCGGTATCATGGAGAGGGGACAGGAGGAGCCGGGGTGAGCGGTGCGGTAGGGTTGGGGTGTGTAGTGGCATGGGGGGGTAGGGGGGACCCGGCTTGGGGGGATGAAGGGGAAGGCGCGGCTGGGGAAGGGAGAAAGGGAGTGAAAAATGAGAGGTATAGAGAAAAGGAACTACAGAAGAAAATAAACGTATAAGAAATGTAAAGAGAGCTATAGAGGCCAGCCCGGCCCGGCTGCACCCTCCCACAGCAAGAACCGAAAGCCAAACACTTGCGCGGCCTCCGCCCCGCGGTTTAAATCCCCTCGACTCCGCCCCGCGCAGGCGCGCTGGGGCCCCGCGCACCTGTGCCCATAAATGCCGGCGGCTCCGCGCCCCCCCCGCCTTGCTGTGGGGGATGCTGCGGGACTTCAGGCCTTGAAGTGGGGCCGGCACCAGGATCCGGGCCCGGAGATCTGAGTCCGGATCCCGCCGATGTCTGCTGGGGTCCTGGGAGGAGCTGTTTCTCCCTCGGCGGGTGGGGTGCGGGATTTGGGCTGGGATGAGGACTGGGATCGCCGCGGGCGGGAGGAGCCGCTCCGAGACACCCGCTTCGGCCGGCGCGGGGCTTGGGTCACGCCGCTGCTTCGGGTTTGGTCCCAGTGTGGCCGCAGGGAGCCGGGGCCGGGCCCAGAAGGATGGCGGCGATTCACTGGAGCAGGCGCTGGATCGCAGCTGGAAGCGACAGGACCGTGGGGCGGCGGCGCGAGCGCAGCGCCCCCCGCCGGGCAGCAGCGCCCCAGGGGTGCCCGAGGTCACCGCAGGTCACCGCCCCGGAACCCCGAGGTCACCGCACCCTCCCGGGCAGAGCAGCGCCCTCCTCCCCGTCCCCCGTGCCCAAACCCCGGGGGCTCACGCCCGCCGCGCCCTCGCCGATCGAGCGGGGCAGGATCGCCGCGGGCGGGAGGAGCCGCTCAGGGGCGGGCACTGCGCCCGGTGTGGGACCGGAGCCCCGCTATGGCTCGGTCCTGCTCCAGCCGCTCATCCAACACCTGCTGGGTGAGACTTGATGCTCTCCCTCAATTCCCCCACTTTCTCTGTGGCTCGTACTCCACAAAATGGGAAATCCCGTGGGTTTAAAAAGCCAGTGAAAACGGTTTGCTCTTTATTTCTGGAGCACAGGCGATTCTGAGTTGGAAGGAGCCACGAGGATCGCCAAGTCAAACAGTGATAAGTGATTGATCCATGTGGAGATTGAATTCAGAATCTTGGCCTTGTCAGCACCCTGCTCCAAGCACTTGAGCCAAGCTCAGGCTCATAAGGAATGTCGGCACAGTGCGTTTGTGGAGGGCCTCAGAGAGCAATTCCTGGTACCGACCACCTGGAGCTCCCACACACCCCCAGGTGTCCCAGCCCCCCCAAACCCCTTCCCTTCCAGCCTGGGGACATCACCCATCAGCAGCGTTAAAGTCAAGGGACTCTTCCCTCACAGAAATTAAACCCCAAGCAATGCTCTTGGAGATTCCTTAAAATAAAAGGTTAGAGTTGAAGTTTTGTTTGCATTAAGTTTGGAGTTCTCCAGGGAGCCAGCTGGAACCACAGAACTGATGGAAAGCTTTCACAGGTGGGTCCCACTGGAGGTGCACTCCAAGGGCAGAAGCAAGTTGTCAGAGCTCCTGGAAAGTAGATGGAACAAATTAAGGTAATTCATCTTCGTTTTCTGGTGATCAGGGACAGATGGAGGGCTGAAGAACATTATCTTCCTCTTCAAACTTGTGTACTCCTGAGTGAATACTGGTTGCATTCTGACATATTTAGAAATGTGGGAAAAGAACAAGAGATTGTGCACAGAAAGGATGCTTTTTCTCCCCTCTTTAAAAATTCACAAAAATGACTGCTTTTGCAAACAAACGTTTTTCCATTTAAGACTTTCCCACCAACTTCATTAACAGAGGTACGTCACACTTGAGACACCTGTTAAACAAAATGGTATAGAAATACCATTGTTTCCTGCTGGTGATAAGAAAAATGGTGTAAACCAAAATTTTCTGTCCTTTACTTCCTCAGTTAGAAACTCTCACACAAATTCCTTTTTTTTTAAAGTTATTTTTAGTATCCTCTCCCTTACATTTAAAAATTCCCAGTAACTTCTTTGGGGGCAACTACACTTTCATTGTATCAACCAGTACTGCAAGACAATAACATTATACCATCTTTTTTCATTGTTTGTGTTACATACAGTACAGAGAGATCAAATTATGGCCAGCCACATGCCTTTGGTAAAAATAAAAGTCTGGTGAGATCACATTTTCTTTAAATTCAGAAAGCCACATGTTGAACTCGTGTTATGTTTTGAAGTTCAATTCTATACAAACTTCTTCAAAGCAAAATTAAACAGCTGTCACGCCACGCAAATGGCAATTTCTGAGCTGCTCCAGAAAAGAGATGAAAGGTTTGAACTTCAGAGAAGCTCTTCACATGTCTTGATCTCCATTAGATTTGTGTTTCAGACAGGGGGTAGAAAGCCTAGTAAATATTCACAAACCTACAAGTCAAAACCAGTGATACCAGTGATAAATATTCTCAGTTTTTAAAAAACTTTCTGTAGGAACACATGTGGCTCATTTAAGCAACTGACGGTCTTCCTTGAGGCGTTTTTTCCGGGGCTGTACAAAGTCATCATCTGAGTCATCGGTAACTTCTGCATTGTCTTTTTCACTCTGGCTGTTTGGCTGCACAGGAAACTTTCTCTCAGGATAAAGGTTCCTTAGAAGATCTTCAAAGTAGGATTCAAGTTTCATGCCAGCATCAGCCACTTCTGAATCGGGCTGTTGGGTGAATTAACAACATCAGTGCATTGTGAAATAGCTTTGTACTTAGATCACATTAGGTCTTTTAGGTACAAACTACAAAAAAAAAAAAAAAATCACCAGCAGAAATGGCTCTGGAGCACAGGGCCCCAAAGAGCACAAAAATACAGTGAGGGCAGATCTTCCAGCCAACAACCACCAATGATTTTTTTCTCTAACTGGTGACCACAGAAGCCACTCACAAAAGCCACACTGCCTGGGTACTCAAAGCTGTATAAAGATTCTAAAAACTCTTAAATCCTGACTGGGGTGGGAGCAGGGGGACAGAGTTGTGTTGTGCTGTAAAACACACAGATATGTCCTTGGGGTGTTAGAAACTTTTCTAGCTTACAGATCTTTTTAGTAACAGAAAATGTTACTTGGTAGACAGTGACTGTAACATGGAAGACTGAGCAGTCCTGAAGTCATCCACAACCACCACAGCTACCAGTTTCATGAAGCAGATATCCCCAGTATAGGAGTAAGTCCTAGCTCTCAGAGTGACTGGATGAGAATTCCACAGAGGCCACTTGGAAAAATTACAGTGGGAATTATTCCCACTGTAATTCTCTCTCCTTTTGTGGTCCACTCAGAACCTGCATCCCTGTTTCACCACATATTCCCTTATGTGCAGTAGGGGATAATAAAAATTACATGCAACTTGAAATCATAAGAATGATTTCCAGAAATGAAAATCCTACTGAATTTAAGATCTGACATAAGCAGGACGAAACCAATTTTTAGATCATAATGCCCACCATTAACCTGTATGATAAAAAGTTGTGTTTTTCTTTAGCTGCTGTTGGGCCATTCAGCTATGTTTGTTGCCACCTTCCTCCCTTCTATGGAAAGATGCCCACTGCAGAGTTATCTCAGACCACAGCAGTGTCAGATCTGATCTATGTTTTCACTGCAGTCTCATCATCAAAGTATGTTTAATACAATAAATTCTTGTGTTTTAAGTTGTACCCTCATTACAGTTACACTGAAAACAACTAAGCCAACAAAGCTGATAAAATGTCTATTTTTCTAACCTCATTAAATTCAGCACAGTTTTGGAAAATCAGTCTGAAATCAGCCACAAAATCTTCTGGCTTATTGTAGAATGAATTGGTCACTTCAAGTCTTTTCTTGATGGTTGACAGGTCCATAGGCTTCTTGATTATTTTGTAGTAATCAGGGACCTAAGTGGATGAAAAAAGTCCAAAATGAAACTATGTTCATAATTTATTGTTCTATAAACCTTTAGATTTGAGGGAGTAGGCAAGATTTAGTCTCATCTTCAAAGTACAACTCAAAGATACAAGAATTGCACTTTTAACATACATGCAGACAGTTTCTGGAATAACAGTATGTATGACAATTTGTTGGCTAAAGTATACTCTTTCCAATGCTTATTTTAAAATCAAAGAAAAACACATAAAACCTCCACTAAGTACATATAGCAGAGCCAATGAGTTGGTTTGGATGTTCTGTAGTAACACATGGGCATAATATGAATTATTCAATCTCTTGTGCCATTTCTTATTATTAAACTCTGTGGAATGTTCTTCAGAATTCTTATTCAAATGGAATAAAGGCTGCATAGGAACATACTACTTTTTGATGATACTCTTTCCCCATTGACTTGTCCTTCCCCACTGCCTTGTCATGAAGAACATCTTTTCATCTGGTCACAGTGGTAGCTCTTTGGACTTCTGCTGCACTCAGGTACTGTTTACCATTTTAAACTAACAAATTTCAAGTCAATAAGAAATTCAATTTCGTATTAGAACTACGGAGTACCCCAGTTCTCAAAATCACGTAATGTTTAAAATTAATGTTTAAAGGTTTAAAACCCCCAAATATATCCCAATTTACCTTCTCAGTGATGTAACTCAGGATATGAAGTTAGCAGTGTTAGAACTTACTTTTTTAAACGACTTTTGAAGTATTAAGTGAAATAACTTGTGGAATTTTACTAGCAAATCCCCTGCCAACCCTTTTAATTTCCCCTTCAGACAGTTTGAATAAAATTAAACATGTTTAATGCATTGAATGTCTGTGGAATTTGACTTATGATAATGGACTTTAAAATGCCACTAAAAACATGGCAAATATGCTGCTAACATAAAATAGAAAGAAGTGAGGTACATACTGTGGGAGGAACTGGATCTTGAAAGGCAGGACTCATTTCATGACAGTAGAGGTATAGCAGCAGTCTTTCACACTTCTGTGCCAAGAAAAATAGATATCCAACTAATTCAGGAATCCTACATGGCTTATTCTAAAATCACAAACTACAGAAACTACAGAACTCAGTATTCCCACTTTTTCTTTGTGTATACTGGATCTTGAGCCTTGAAAGAGATTCTAAAAAATACTGTGTGATTTTACGCTTGCTAATCCCTTTTCAGAACCTTTACAGTGTAGCTATGATATTTTGCTAGGATTTTTTCTCCTGAGGAGCTGAGGAGCCTCAGGAGAGAAATGTAAACAATAACTATCTGCTGCTGTGGAATGCAATGGGTGCAGCTGTGACTGGGGCATGTTGGTTGTTTCTAATCAATGGCCAATCACAGTCAGCTGGCTCGGACTCTCTGGGAGTCAGGAGCCTTTGTTATTGCATTCCACTGCTGTTCTTTCTAACCTTCTGATGAATCCTTTTCTCTCTATTCTTTTTAGTATAGCTTTAGTATATGATTTTAATATACATCATAATATAATAAACCAGCCTTCTGAAACATGGAGTCAAGATTCTCTTCCTGGGAGCTCCTGTCGACCAGATCACAGGGCTTATAACTTACATTTAATGCAAAATACAAATAGAGTACATGTAAATAATGCTGTGACAAAGTCTGTCCTCCACACACACATAATTGATGGCCAATGTGATCTGTCCTAAGATAAGAACACCAGGTGGGAATTGCAGGAGGAACTGTCTGGATGCTTGCATAATTAATGCATTCCAGAGGTGGGGGAGTGATGAAGGTTGTGATTGACCTTGGTACACATGGGCCTGCAAAAGGGTACAAAATGCTCCTGGAGACTGGGCCAAATGGCAAAGTGACCTCCTGAGGCTGCAGGGCAGCTTCCAGGTGGATTCCACCCCTGCAGGGACACCTGCAGGGTACATCCAGCCTGAGGATGGGAAGACTCAGGTTTGGACAGGTGAGTAACAGGTGGAGATAAAATCCTAATGTAGCTCCATGGGTGCTTTGCTGCTTTGCAACTGTGCTTTCTGCAAACCTGCATGTTTCCAGTTGACCCTGTGTTATAGCCCTTCAGACCTGCTTATTGTACACTGCACTGGCAATATTTAGATACTGTATGAGCAATAAATCTCATCATAATCACCCACATACCAGTGTCATACGTTGTGAGCCTGAGAGTCTCCTCTCTACTACATTTCTATAAATGGCTATACATGTAGACTAAGACCCCAAATGAAATACTATTTTCAACATATTTACACAAGTTGCCAACTGAAAACAGGTAAACACTGACAAAAGTTTCTAACACAGTTCAAAATTGCTTCAGCTTCTAAGTTTTAAATGACTATTTTATCCTTACCCTGCGGTCTATGGGTGCCAAACCCATGGTGTCTTCCAATTTTCGTTTTTCAGAGCTGTGAGCAGGTTTATCACAGTCATATTCAACTTCTGGCTTGGACAAATCCCGACAGAATGTACAAATCCACTCTCCACTAAAGAAGACAAACAGACACATTGACTTCAGTGAGAGAGCACTCCTTTGCCAGAAGGCTTTTCACATATTTTTGGGTAAATCCCTCATCTTTACCACAAAACTGTGCATCTCTGTTGTTTTCTTGGTGGTGGTACAAAAGGCTGCTGGCAAAAATGCTTGACTACAACTTTGTTTCCTTTTAGTGTCACTGGCATCATTAATGGTGTCCTAGCAGAAAGACAGACAGATGGTCCCTACCTTTGTTAATACTGATATTTTTTCCCTTGAGCTCACAGGATTTAAGGACAGCACTATGAAGGGCCCTGTACAACCATAACTACAGAGAGACTGAAGGAGTCATATGGCTGAACAGAAGGCAAAGTGTTAGCATTATACAGGGAGAACGACATACCCGCTACCAGCTTGATCTACAGCACATTACTAATCTACAGAGATTACCATAGACAGGATTCTTTGTAAAACTGAAAATATTTCACTCCCAAAAACACTCAGATATTCATGATTTTACCAGTTTGCAAAAGACGGTACTGGAGATTAAAAGGTCAGCATGAGACTGTAAGATGATTCATTCTGCAAGCTATGTCTACTGATTGTTGAACACAATTTATGAACTTGAAAGTTTTGGAAAAAACTATGAAGAGTCAATTTTTTTACTATAGTTCTCTACAAAGAGAGAAACTGCACACTTGCAGATAACCACCAGAGGGCTGAATTGTCACACAGTAGACAGAATCCAGCAATCACCAGTTATGATACCAAATGCATGTATTTACCCAGAGGTATGTTATGATAAACAAAGACTTCGTAAATGGGAAACAGTTTCTGCAGCACCCTTTATTTCATTTCAGTAGTAAGGCAGAAGAATTCACAGATTTAAAAATAAAATCTTACTGTTTTCTATTCAGAATGATCCAAATATTTTCACCATGTGCCAGTTTTAGCATGCAGTGGTGAATGATGGGCATTTTGCTTCAGGAAGTTTTACTTTCTACTGTCTTAACTTCACAAAGTGATTTATGACAGTGTCACCTCTGTGCCTGAACTAGCCTCACAGAAATGATGTGGCAGATACACAAAAATTAATACAGGCTACGACCTAAAGATCTTGAGATATAAGAAAACAAGAAACAAATTAGAGGAATGATGCATTAAAATATCCAAGAATCAGGAAGAATGTGGTAGGTTGGAGTGAAGGAAAAAAGACACTGTGGCCTTATGAGTCTACATAGGAACACTGTTTTAAACTGAAAGAGGGTAGATTCAGACTGGATACAAGTAAAAGGTTTTTTACAGTGAGGACTGTGAAACACTGGCACAGGTTGCCCAGAGAGGTGGTGGATGCCTTATTCCTGAAAACATTCAGTGCCAGGTTGGATGGTACTCTGAGCAACCTTGTCTAGTTGAAGATGTCCCTGAGCATTGCAGGGGCATTCATGTTAGAGGCTCTTTAAAGGTCCCTTCCAACCCAAAACACCTTGTGACTCTGAACTTATGAAATGGCTCTATCCACCTTAAACAGGGAAAAAAAAACCAACCATGAAAGCAGCAGACTGACACCCCTGACACAATAATAACAGAATTATTCTGTGTGTTTGAAGGAACTAATGCTAAGAGACTAAAGTTTGTTTGGCAGACTTAGAGTTGGCAGAAAAAAAAGGAAGCAACCCCACAAAGATGAGAACAAAACCCTGATACATCAGAAGTCAGGAGGAAACTTCACCTAACTGTGCTCTGGAGCCCAGGAACACAATGCACCTGTAGGAATACGTGCCTTCACAGATCTGAACACCTGCCACCAAAGTGGTTTTTGGCTCTCTTGCCCTCAGACATCATTAGCTCAGTTTCCACTGAATGATCCAGTAAAAATGAAGCATTTTAAAGACTTGCTATTGACTATTTAATTTTAATAGAAACAAAATCTTGTAATACATAGTTATCTACCTGCTTCAAGATTCCTTTTTGTTTCCTTGCCAGAAAAAATATTTATTAATTTAAGTGCTTACTGTAACCTTACTGGGTTTTCCTTATGGCACAAAGCTGTAATGTAGCATTGTTTTAATTAAAAAAAACCTGAAAACTGAAGTTTCAAAAAGTAAGAGAAACATTTTTATGTGCCATTTCAACTGACATTTAAAAGAAAGATATACTTCCAGAAGTATGCCTGTTCAGAGTAGCACAGAGATGATCAACCTGCTAATCTAAGTTGCTATCCAAATGTTTTACACCAGTAAACTATGCTGATATTTAATCAGAAAACCTAATATTTATAAAAGCATTAACCAATGAGCATGTTATAACCAATGTTTTTATCCTTTAATACAAACAAGCTTATTGCATGACATTTCCAAGCTGGGGCATTGACAAATGCCCTTTATTTTAATCAAAGACACTAATTCCAGAAGCAAATGCCACTAATATATAACAATAATCTACTTAAGACTCTATTTTGAAAGTCAAGAAACTGAGCAATGGTTTTGTAACAGCCAACCAAGGAAGCCTAATGCTTGTTTCAACACAGATTGTTATACAATATGTCAGTCACTACACATCCCATGCTTGGAGTGTAGCCATGTTTAGCACTGAAGTAATATATTCAATACTATACTAATTCAGATTTTTCCTGTAGACATGTCTTAATTTTTCTTTTTTGTTAAAAAATCATTATTTTTAAGAAATTTAACTATATTCCATCACGCTTAAAACATTTTATGACAGATTGCTAATGCTGTGTCCCCGTTTTAATAATAGATGCCCTAGATGTAATCTTGCTTAATTGTCAAATAATTGAAGAGTTTTACTAGATTTTGTAGGAAAATATACAATTAAGCTGAAATTTCATGAAAATTCAGATTTTCTCCAACTAATAAAACTCCTGGATACAAGACTTTAAAGAAGGCACTGCTCTTCCTCTGAGACTGAAACTTCTTACCCCGGGTTTCACAATACAAGTCTAATGTCTTCTAGTGCAATTTTAGATGGAATTGAAATAGTCAATTACCTTGGAAAGCTCATCAATGTAGGAACATGACAAGAAAGATGGAATACTTTGGGACACTTCTCACAGCAAAGGAGCTTCCCTCCATTTTGGCATACAGCACACCAATCTTCATTCGGATCATCCTCTTTTCTGCCCTCGCCAGCATGGGAGGATCCCATCCAAGCTGTTTTCCCAGGGAACATGTTCTCCTGCAGTGCCCCTGGCTGGTCATCTGTGCTGTCTGGTGCATCTGTTCTTAGCACAGCTTCCTCGGAAGACGAATTGTGACTGGTATCCAGCAGCAAGGAAGTAAGTATGGACTGCAGGAAGAAACAAAGGAAGTGAGATTACAGTATTTATGTGAATCTACATGACCCTAAAACTGTGCTAACTGACCTGAATACCACATTTATATACCAGCAGCCATACAACTTGCTACATGCATGCAGAAATTACTAACACACTAAAACACAGGCAAATGAACACAAGAAATTAGCTATGAAAGGCTATTTACTACTCCACCAATAAAAAACTAATCTCTGATGGCCCAAAAATCTAGTACCTTGTTTATGGATATTCCTGCATTATGACTAGAAACACTTCCTAGCAGCACCTGAAAATTTCATCTCTGCCAGTTATTCCTGGATTTCCCAGGTTTTCAATGGAAAAAAGCAGTCTGACCACACCATTTAATTTAATTGGCAGTAGGACTAGTTTGATTTTGAATTTCACCTCTTCCTTTTACTTAGGTTTTTAGTTTTCCCCTAAATACAAGTAAATTATTTTAGTCCCCATAAATACAAAATACCCTCCAAAGAGAAAGGAGCTCTTTCTAGCTGCAAACATTACATTCCGAGGCCGGGATTCCTCCTCCGTCTCTTCCTTCACTACAACAATTGGGAAATCAAAGCTCTCGTTTGATGCACTTGACTCCTGTTTAATTCTGATCGGCTCCAACATAACAACAGGGACTTTGTGTGTAGAATCAGCTCCTGGTGGCCTGCTGGAGGAGCTAGAACTGTAAATGACAGGAAGAGGCAGGAAAAAAATTAAATTGGGAGTCAGAATTGGACACCTTTTGTACACTGATGCTTTCCAAGACCTCAGGATGTTAATCTACTTTGTTTCTTTTAATCCTGAGTAGTATTCTCTTTATGGAATGCAACATCCAAGTTTATTTCCTTTGATGTATACTGAAAAAGCATTACCAAATGGAAAAAATTTAATGGCTGCACCATTAAAGTTTGAGATTTATCCATATTTTGACCCAAAACTAGAGAATTACTCATGGTTTGACCCATCAGTCCAAAATTTGCAAATAGTCTCAGTTTCTTTCAAATCATGCACAAAAAAGCACTTCCACTGAACATTGTAAACTACACAACTGAATAAGGCAGATAAAATACATATTTACATTATCATGGAAAACTTTCTTAGTGCCTTGCAGCTCCACCAAAACCTGGACCCTACTTTTAGAACTAGATCTGTCTTTTTTCATGTATTTAGTCCTAACAGGATGAGAATGGACAAGCAAACTTTAAAATACCTGCTTATCTTTTTAAACAAAAGTGAAGAATTTAAATCTAACAAAATTAATTCAAGAAGCAGCACATCAAATTACATTTTTCAATGCAAGTAAAGACTCTTCAAACAACCATTTAAACTGTTCATTTAACCTGTTCATTAGAGTCCTTCACAGAATTTACCATGTAAATGGAATAGAGCAAAAGGTATTCCAGATTAAAAAGCACCTGCATTTCCAACTCAAGTAGGATGAATATCATCTGATTTTTCTCTGCATGAAAAATTAATCTCATGTCAGAGGTATGCTCTAATTTATTGCAACACATTAATGGATCTGCACTCTTTAAAAAATGCTGTGTAAATATATTTGCTCATTAATATTCCATCAGTAAGGGAGAAAAACATTTGTGTAGACTCTCAGTAGATATCTACTGCTCACTTAACTGTATTGCAGCAGAAAATGCTTAATAACCCTCTTTGTAGCATCAGTTCCTTAAATCTGAAGTACTTTATGGTTCCGCAAGGGCTTTCAACATGCAGCTTTTTCCTTTAGCTGATTTTTCTGAACTTAAAACTTAATTTATAAATGGTATTCTTTCAATAACGCCAACCTAGCCATCATTTACAGAGTCAATATATCTTTAGATGTTTTATTAATACATTACAAATGAAATTACTGCTTTTAGAATGCAAAGAGTGCTGTAACAACCATCAGGCCTGACCTGTTAACAGAGGTGAGACAAATCGACATCTTTATGCATTAAAGAGAGAAGAGACTGAGGCATGTTCTGTGGAGGTGAAATTTACATTTTCTTCTCTCACACTTTCCTTACCTCTCTCTGCTCCCAACACTGGAGGCACTGGGTGAACGAATTGGAGGGTGTACATTTGTCACACTGATTCCTCCTAGGACAGAAGGATCAGATTAGAACAGAACACAGGCCTGTGCCAAGTCTGACATACGACTCAGAGAAGTACACAGGTTTTGGGGAAAATTTCTCCTGCAGTAAGAAATATCTCATTTAATACATTTTCATGAAAGGATGAGAGGCATGAGATAACAGAGGGGAAGAGGACTAAGAAAGGGCCATTACATGCAAGCAGGCTGATGGGTGAGTACCTTGCCTGGCTGACTTCTCCACCTGATCACTGCAGGCTGTTTTGTCTTATTAAATTCAAGCAGATCTCTCAGGAGAACTGCCAGGAAACTTGGAGCTGGTGAGCAGGAAGAAGTCTGGGGGACAGATATGAGAGAGACCAAAGGTCTGGGGCCCAGAGAGCCAAAAGCCTTGTGAAGCAGATTGCTGAGCAGCAGCCCTGAGAAGCCTGAGTGGGCTGTTAGTGCTGCTTGTGAATGTACCTGTTGTCTCTGCTATCCCGCAGGAATGTGGGACCACCATGCGAGCGCACCAACGTTGCATGACCGCTCCCTGGGAATTCCCACTCACATAGCCTTCCCACAGCTCAGGTCAGTAAATGGTCAGCTGCCAGCTGTTGGGCCACCAACACGGTGACAGGAATCTCCCGGATCCTCCAGGTCTACCACATTCAGCCACCCATCACAGTAACTTCTCTGGTCATCCTGTGTCAGTGCTGCACTGCCCACCCAAGGCACCATTTCTAGTCTGCTGTTACATCCTCTCTCACTTTCTCAAATACTTGTCTCTTACCACAGCTGCTAGGTTTTAATCTGCACACCTGAGTGAGTCACTTTCCTATGGATTTCTATCCAATTTGCTAAAATCTACCTTTTTTTTCCCCTCCCTGTTTTTAAGATCTGGATGCTTAACTTTTGATCACAATGCTAAAATATTATCTCTACCTTCTACTAGGGTTTCTACAACTTTGTGTTCACTTTCTTATTTCTCATGTTTAATATAAAACCGAATTAATTCTGATGTCAGTGTTAACACTGCCACATTTGATTTTTCAATTGCACCACTTAAATATTAAATTGCACCACACTGAATTACCTGAGAGGCCTGGTGATGGTACTGAGGAATTTGGTGACTGCACAGTCCTGTTTGAAGGAGGTTTTGGCTGATTCTGCTCTACAGTGCCATCCTTCCTTACAGCATTATCCAGTGTCATGCTTCCTGAACAATCAATCTAAAAGGCGGGGAAGCAAAGAGAAGCAGTTAGTGTTGGGAAGGGAAAAAAACCCCTCCAAAACAACAAAAACCAAACAAAACCAAAAAGCCTCTGCTATGCTGTTATTTTGAAAGTGAAGACCAAAATGCATTTCACCAAATTTTACCCATCCAATAGTGAGATGGTTACTTTAAAACATATAATCCTGCTTTCCCTAAAAAGAAAATTAAATAGCCAAATCCAGACAGCACTTCATTTTAAGAGCAGATAATTCTGTAGGTGCCAATTTTTCTCCACAGGCTACAGAGAAGTCTTAAATCAAACATGGAGCCTTCACACACTGAAGTAAGTTTATCTCCACACCTTCTTTGGACTTGCTCACATTAAATACTCTTGAAAATATAATATGCTATACACAAAATACCCCTTAATCCATGGGTGTTGAACAGGACTGGAAGAAACTCAAAGGACACTCAATCCCATCTGTCCCACATACCCTCTGGACAGGAGCCATGCATACTGACTCAAAAGGAAACAGCAAACCAACACTTGTTCTTTCCACCATGACTCAGGCCAGACAACTGAACTTTATTCCAGGGGCTCCCAAAGCAGCATTCTAACTTTCTGTAAAAACTACACATTCTGGTTTGATAAGGAGAAATGACTTTTTGAAAGGTTTGGTTTCTTCCAATATTTAAGATAACATTTGATAAAATGTATCCAAAGTTGATGCAGCGACCTTGGCAAGGTCAGCATATTTACAGTGATTTGGGCCATGTATCTTGAAGGCATGAACTCAAATCACACACAAGTAGAAGAGTTCATAATATTGTGCACAGAAATAAATATGCTAAGAAGTCTCACAGACTCAGTAGTTTTATGACCATGTTGTGTAGTTCACCCTTTAAGTCTGACAGATACTGTGATTCTGTAGTCTATGTACTCCATTTTAATAAAGAGAACACACAGTATGTAGGTAAAAACAAAGCACAGATGAGAGATAAAGGAAGTAACAGCAAGCTATGACTAGAAAACAATGACACTTCAGATAGCTACAAGCCTTAGACCACAAAAACCAGGTGAGGCAGTTATGTGGAAAATAAAATCACCTAAGACTCAATAACTCCAACATGGAACTCTGGCAAACATGTACCATACAGAAGATACTATAAAAGAGAAGCTTAGAGGGTTAAGAAATTATGATCTTACTATGCTCTATCACCAGCTAAGAGGCATGTTAGAGAATATACAAAGAAAAGAAGTACCAAAAGGAAGAGACATAAGGAATATATCCAGTATGCTGACCAATAATACCTACCTAAGATAGCTCTTTTAATAAGTTAAAAATAGATTTTAAAAATGTTACAAATCTACCATAAATGCCATCAGCAAACCACTGCTATCTATAGACACTGGTAAATGAAAGCTAAGCTAACACATTTTTATAAGGATTTTGTAAGGATCATTATGAGTGCTGCAGAAAAATATGCAGCATACAAATAAACATGTCCAATTACAATTACAACTTGTAATCCTACTTTTCTTAGTTGTCCTAACAGCTGTCTCCCAGAATAGATCTGAGTATTTCCAGCAACCGCGCAGGAAAACTGCATTGTTCACTTCCTAGAACTCTTTCATTTTGACAAACAGAATTTCAGTCTAAAAGGTTTCTATTTCTCACAAACGTTAAGACTTCAAAGTAGAATCCTTAAAACATTGCCTCTATGTTACACTCACATCAGGCAGAGATGGCAGATTATAGGAGCTGCCCACTGGGGAACTCAGATCTATCACGGGGGGACCGTAATTCTTCCAATCACACCCAGCAGCACTGGTGACTGTGGGGCTGGATGGAGTCGATGTTGAGCTGCTTGCAGTTGAAGGGGTGGATGAAGCTTGTCCACTACTAATCTGCCACTAAAGAGACAAAAATCCACAATTCAGCATTTTTTTTCTTTGCAACAGGTCACATCTAACCGAATATACTGATAAAACCAGCAGCTTAGTTCAGGAAGCTGACTTCAAACATAACTTCAGAGTAAATCAGGATTTTATCTCATTTGATCTCACAAGACAATGGAAGATAACAAGTAGTTGAAAACTATGAATAGAAGAAATGAACGCAAATTCTTAAATTCAAAGCTACACCGCAGTGTTAAGTATCTATTAATATTTCATGCTTCACTGACAGTGTTGTGGAAGAAAAGTAACAGTTTTTGTTAAATAAAAGTATTACAGGTAATAGGGTGAATGCACAACTGCTCCAGTGCTTTGCCAAATAAACCTGCATGCCTTAAGTCTTTGATGTTCCCTTAACAACATAAAGTCGTTAAGAATTTGAAATGCTGACTGGATCTCCATCCATATATACATTTAACACCATGATATGAACTGCACAGTCAAGTCAGACAAAATTTCTTTCTCATCTAGAAATGCAGTTTTTAATGGAATTTCCTGGCAACTGCAGGCAAAATCTGACTCTGCTCAATTTCTTTTTAGTTAGTCATTCTATTTACTGGCCTCTAGTTTCAGAAAGGCATTACTGAATTATGAGGTAGCTTGAAAGAAAGGCTTTTATACAGACCAGTCTTCTTTTCAGAGGCACAGAATAGAAGTGACTTACTTTTTATTCTCACAAGTCCTCTTAGATATTGTTCAGCTTTCTTCCATTTAGTTGAATTAGTTCTCTGACATTACAAGCATTGCAAACACAACTAGTATTACCCCACTCTTCAGGTCACAGATTTGTTTGATTCTTTCCTGCTTACCTGCACCCAGCAACTCATGTGGTAATAATATGCTTTTTAATAAAGATGAGCTTTCCTAAACACCAATGTGTTTGCTTCTGTCCCAGTCCAGCTGCTGATCAGCTGGGCATTGATCAGTCTCACTCAGCAGAGGTGTCACAATTGTGGAATCTCTTTTTTCCTGTCACCTGTAAAGGTTCAGATTTGCCATATCCTAGGGAACCATGGCAGCTCTAGCTTTTTAGCCAAGGCTTTACCTGGCTTCTGGTGAAGTCACTATCATTAAAATAAACTGCGATTTTCTGATTTGTTTTCTCAATGACTCCAGTGTGCAGACCACGGGCATGCTAAGTTTTGGATAAATGGTCAGAAACCACAACAACAGCAAGTAGGAGAATGAAACACCTGCTCAGCACACACAGTGGCTCACCTCCCTAATGCTTCAGCTGCTTAGAACTGTGAAAATGAAAGCAACTTGACAGTTACCTCATTAAGAAAACTGCGCGTATCTTGTAATAGAAAAACAATGTAATCTCTGTTTTAATTGAAAAGCACTCTAGAAGTGTAGTGCAAAAGATTATGTAAGGCACATTTGATGTTTCATTTCTAAATGGAGAGTAAAAAGGGAAATACACTTTACCTGTTTTATAGCTTGCTGTGCCAAGAATGCCATTTGCAATGGGCTGGGCTTCACTGCTGGCCTTGGTAGGTTCTGATTTTGGGGAAATCTCATCTGTTGTGCAGGAAGAGCTGAACCATTGGGTTTGGGACTATGATTCTGAAAATGAATCAAGCGTGGAGGTGCCTGCATAAAAACAATAAAAAGCGTTCTGAAGTTAGCTGAGATCTGTTCTATATCCCACATTTTTTACTAAACGGTCCTTTTAAACTTCTGAAACTCCTCATAAATTATATGCAAAGTTCTGAAGTTAGCCAAGATCTGTTCTATATCCCACATATTTTTTACTAAACGGTCCTTTTAAACTTCTGAAACTCCTCATAAATTATATGCAAATAAATAGTATCACACCATTTATCTGAATGATCAAAAGCATTGAATTTCAATGTTAAAACCTAGTAGACAGTTTTGAGTTATTTTATTATATGAAGAGATATAACAAGAGACAGTGAGAGTGTTTCCAACTTTGAAAGATACATGAGAGAATCATTGGGTGTTATGCAAAATATATGTAGCAAAAAAAATTACTGACATTGACTTTTTGATCACTTGACAAAAACACAAAAATGTTGCTAAGCACTGTATATGGCTGGATACAACAAGATTTTATTTTTTTAAAGAATAAATACAAACTGGGTGCCACCACACATTTTGCAAGGCAAGTTTAAAATGCCCACTCATTTCTCAGTAAAGAAAATGTCCTCTAAACCATCTACATAGCTATGTGCTGAAGATGATGATAGTTGAACTTATGTATCTAGGTTTAAGTGCTTTCCTTTTTTTCCTATCTTACTTTATTTTCTCCTTCAGTGCCATGGAAAAAAGAGACTCTGAAAACACTCGTAACTTACCTGATGAGAAGCAGGAGGTTGTTGCATGGCTCCTGGCATTCTTGGGTTTGGCAGAACTACTGGTCCTGCTCTGCGCTGAGCTTGCTGTCTCTGAGCCATGACCTGCTGCTGCATGTGCTGGAGGCGGAGCTGAGCTAAGCTGATCTGTGTCGGGAACTTGGAGAGCTGGTTGGGAGGTAAACTGCCTGGTGGCTGTAAGTTTGCTTCCATCACAGGGCTCTTGGGCATATGTGGTAGAGTTTCCTTATCTTCAATTACTAAAGAACCTATTTTAACCAAAAGAAATAAAATCAATACTGAAGTATGGCAGTTAGCAGAAATGCCATCACGCTGTCAGCAACATGCAGCCTGACTAGAACTCAAAAACAATTTCTGAAGTAATTTGTTTCTTTACTCAGACTTTCTTTTATTTTTCTTCACTGGTTCTTATATCTAGGTTATCTACAGAAACTGAACATATCTGATCATAAACAAAATGGCCTGATGGCTGTGATTTCTGAAACTAGATTGATAAATATGATTTGGTTTTATCTATCACTTTAAGTCTTACAAGAACCCCAGCCCGGGTCTATACAGGTGCCATTGCCATTTCTACTGTAGCACTTTTCAGAATGTAAGGGACCATATTTCGGAAGTTCATTACATAAATATACACAAGAAAAAGAGTCCACCAAACACAGGAAGAAGTCAGCTCATGACGAACATCACAGCTGAGCAGCAGTTCAGAGTTATCACCACACAGCTGACAGCTGGTTTCTAGAAACATGTTTCACTTTCAATTCCTGTCTCCAAGAAAATTATTTATAAAGAAGGACCTTGGAGAATTTCCTTGCTACCATCCAATGTCCTCATGTCTGGGAAAAGGAGCTTGTTTGCCTTGAAGAACTGCCATAACACTTCCTGCCTCTGACATTGTAGAGAATCACACATTTGCACCTCTGTACACTGAGAGAACACTTTCTGATGAAAGGCAGAAAATGTCCCACAGACATCTCACAAAGCCTTCTGCACATGACAGAAAAACAAAAATGCCCACCAAGATAACAGTGGAGAGAGAAAGGAGCACCACAACAGTCAAAATCCTGAAAGACCTCTAAAACCTTTAAGTCCTCCTGCTAAGCTGTTGAGTTCTTAGGGTGCTTATCATCATGGCTGAAAGCTTGGTCTATACAGGTGCCATTTCTACTGTAGCACTTTTCAGAATGTAAGGGACCATATTTCGGAAGTTCATTACATAAATATACACAAGAAAAAGAGTCCACCAAACACAGGAAAAAGTCAGCTCATGACGAACATCACAGCTGAGCAGCAGTTCAGAGTTACCACCACACAGCTGACAGCTGGTTTCTAGAAACATGTTTCACTTTCAATTCCTGTCTCCAAGAAAATTATTTATAAAGAAGGACCTTGGAGAATTTCCTTGCTACCATCCAATGTCCTCATGTCTGGGAAAAGGAGCTTGTTTGCCTTGAAGAACTGCCATAACACTTCCTGCCTCTGACATTGTAGAGAATCACACATTTGCACCTCTGTACACTGAGAGAACACTTTCTGATGAAAGGCAGAAAATGTCCCACAGACATCTCACAAAGCCTTCTGCACATGACAGAAAAACAAAAATGCCCACCAAGATAACAGTGGAGAGAGAAAGGAGCACCACAACAGTCAAAATCCTGAAAGACCTCTAAAACCTTTAAGTCCTCCTGCTAAGCTGTTGAGTTCTTAGGGTGCTTATCATCATGGCTGAAAGCTGTCCCACGGGAAAGGAGCTGGGAGTGCTGTTTGACAGCAGGAACCCTTTCTTTGGATGTGAAATAAGATTAAAAACTGCCTTCCTTGTTTTAGAAGTCAGAAGTTAGAAGTATTGACCAGAAAACTGAAAGCTGCTATTTTCACCATCACATATACCATTCAAATAAAGTAAGTTTGTAAATACTTTATCACAGTATTCATAAATAATACTTTTCCCCATGCAATGCACTTTAAATGTTTCTCACAGTTAGGGAAATACATTTAACAGAGTAAATGAAGAAATAAATAGCGCAGAGGCTGTCGTCACAAAAAGAAAGCTGCTTTCCAAATAGGATCAAGATACTAAAAGGCTAATAAAAAATGTATCACACCTAGATTGAAAATATTCTGAGCCCAGAAGCTAGGATCACAGTGGAACTGGATGGTATTGTTAGTCACTGGGGAAGGATCACACCTTGCTCGGAGGAGATACCGTAGTCGATATGTAATCTAGAACAAGAACAAAAACAAGGTTTTTTTTTTCTCCTCTGGGGCCAGAGCCATATATCTGAACAGAACAAAACCCCCAAAAATACACCCCTTCACACACCAAAGCAACCAATCAAAAAAACCTACTATCAAAACCCCCCTGAACAAGCCTCTAGAGAACTGAGGTTAAAGATAGAGAAATTTATCCAAGCTACAAATAAAGAGGTATTTTTAACATCTTTCCCTTATTCCTAAAGTAGTTTTAGGAATACAGCCTAAACAAAAATAACAATTCTTCCCTGTAGGAATACATATCCTTCTAAAATCTTGGCCATTATATTCAATGACTTTAACTACTTGCAAGTGGAGCTAAGATTTACACAACTGTTGATGTTTTCTCCCCCATTAATCTATTTTAGCCCATTCATTTTTCTTTCAAAGTATGCCACTTGTTTGGCAACAAGTATGATCTGAGGGAATTTTCTTTTGTACTAAATTTAAGTTTTCTTCAGACAGCCAAAGAACAGATTTTAATAAACTGTCTTTGAAAACTCAGATTCACAAATATTTTCAGATTTTTTCAAATGCCTTGGTTCCAAAGAACTGGACTGTGATTACACAAGAGAATATTCTACCAAATGCTCACAATTTATTTAGTGCCTAGAAAGAAAATGTTGTCTTGCAGTTGTTTCACTAGAAATGTCAGGAACTGATATACCAAAATACAACAGGCACTAATTTTAGAATCACACACAGCAAGCAGAACCTGGAAAAAAAAAAACTTGAGTTCAACTCTTGTTTTTCTTGAGTGACAGATTATTTCCTGGAAAAGAGATATGCTTGGCGAAATCATCTCAACTGTTTAAAATGACACAAGTTTTTTAATTTCAATTTTAGGCAGGTCAGTTTAAGACCATACTCAAAAACATTTAACATGACTAAAGATTTTTAAATTACCATGGAAAAAATTGAAGTGCATTATTATTATTATTATTCTGGATAGAGATTTCCTTAGGATTTTTGTGTATACTGCCAGAATCAAGTAGATGACACTACAGAAATTCTAGGCTTTTGTCCTGTTACCAGTACTGGTCACACACAGTTCCTGTCATAGTTTGCTCCACTATTTTCCTACTATTGTGCACACAGGTGTTGTAGATAAACTCCTGACTGGTTACCTCGTGTTAGTAGTAGTTGTGAAAAGTACAACCTGAGAGTACAGCCCCCAAGCTCTAATGCTGCCTTTAAGTCATTCTTTCCTCCCTCCTGGATATGCTGGAGCAAAAGTCTCACATGCTCTTCCTACGCAAAACTCCTTGGAAACAGATTTTTCCAAATGCCCACAGATGGGTTATCTACTCAGCTCCCCAGCAGCACCAACTTTCTAAAGCTCAATCTGTTCTTTTGAAAAATACTTTTCATTTGCTGAGGCTTTCTGGGCTAGATGGTCCTTTCTTTCAGCTGCCTAATGTTTATATGATTAAGATGCCTGAAACACAATTTGTTTTCTTACTCATGTAGCAGACTCTTGATGGCAACACTAAGCAATTATAAACAACATGACTCAGTTTGATATCCTTTTTCTCTATTCAATTAAAAAAAATATGACTGGCTGAGGCAGTATAAGGCAGATCAAATGAATTTAACTACTTGAAGTTGATAAAAACAAGTCATATTCTGCTATAGCCTGCACTATCAATAACAGGTATCAAAAAAAAAGAAAAAAAACCAAAAACACCACCACAAATCCAAACCCAAACAAACAAACCCCACCAAATACCCTGATAGGTTCTCAACTAACCAATGAGAAAATAAAGAAAAAAACTTTCTGAATCAGTTTATAGGAATTGGAAAAAAACAAGCATCTAGCATCTTCAACATTGCCCCAGATTGCTGCTATCAGGCAAGTACAGTCTAGTAACGTGAACCAGTTTATAGGAACTGGAAAAAACAAGCATCTAGCATCTTTCTTCAACATTGCCCCAGATTGCTGCTATCAGGCAAGTACAGTCTAGTAACCTTTGGAAAAATCAAGGTAAGCTTTTGGGTTGTTTTTTTTTTTCTTTCAAATTTTCTAGGATTTCTGTCCATCATGAACATTCAGCTTCGTGAGAAAACATGCACTCAGGTCTTAAGGGTCATTATAGCAATAAAATATTTAGCTTTGTAATTGTTTGTATGGACAAACAAAAACCTTAGTTTAATTTTTATTGATTTTGAAAGTTTTTCAGTGGGAGATGAACCTGACAGAACAAAGACATACAATAATATCTACATTAAAACACTAGATACCAGACACCGTGATATACAAATACTGTTTTTCATGAACTCAGATGCTGTAGCAAATATTGTAAAGAAGCACAATGATAATGTAGGCCACACAACATTTTTTTCAGTGTTTTATGGCTCCATGGTTTTCAACCCACAGAAAATGAGCTGTTCCTACTTCTGCAGATCTACAGTAGTTCTATGGTATTGTAACAGGAGAGAACCATGATCAGAGAGCTAAATTAATAGTAACATTCCGTATTTATGTTTAAGAGAAAACCACGACAACCATATATTAATATTCCAATTAGTAGAAAATCATGAAAAATTCTAATACCCAGTACTCCAGACAAGCATGTGCATGCTTATCTGACTTAACCCTAGTCTCTAGGTGAATGGACAGAGCTGTCTTCCTAACTTACCAAACGTTTACTGTACAACAGTGCTGTGCTGCTCCCACTGGAAACTGCCCATTTGGAAAAATTCATGACATGTTCCAGCTGTTTAGAGAGACCTGCCACTTCCTGTTGTTGCTGCAGAAGTTTCATCCTGTGCTCTTTTGCCAGAGTCTGCAAGTAGAAAAGCGGTTCCAGTCAAAAGGTTCAATTTACAGTTAAAAGGCATTAACTTTCATACTGGTAATTCACAATGATCACAGTGGTTTCACTTAGCTCCTCTAAAAAGGACTCCTGCCCCCTGATGCAGCAAAGTCAGAACAAACAGAAAAGTCAGTACACATTTACTCAAAATATCAGGACTGTCTGTGCTACTGACACATTTTTACATATATTTATATGTATGCATGTGCCTCTCTACACACACACACACACACACTCTTTTTAAAACACAACTGGAGATATTATTTTTCCAGGTACCCATTCTAGACAATTATCTTCTGTGATTTGCTACTGGATTACTGAATTTATTAAAAAATCTGATAGAACACTTTTCATGCATGATGTGTGGAATTATGAATTGCAAAAGCATGGAGAAAGAAACTGGCCACCCCTCAAAAACCAAACTTTCCTCCACCAAAAACCCCACTTGCTCAAGTAGTTGTATAGGACATCTCTCCACTTTGGAATCATGACAGGACATGCACAGGGGACTAATGCTAGAAATTTACTGTAATGTGAATACATAGAAGAAAATATTAAGATTGAAATTTTTCTTTCTTATGATAGAAATGAAATTACCTCCAACTGATGCAGCAGAGCTTTTCCCTTTTTATTTATTTCTACCATCAGTGTAAATATGGCAACTTTAATATCCTGTTCCACCTGCTTTTGATTCTGATTCACTTCAAGAATTCTGTAAGCAGACAGTATAGAAAATAATGTTCTTTAGCTCATAAACCCATCTTCTAAACAGTACTAAAAAATAAATCTGTTGCTTAGACTACAATACTTCTTGGTCATATGCACCAATTAATACATGCACCATCAGATACCTATAGCCAGGAAAATTACTGGGAGAAATAGAGCAAGTAAGAGTGACCTATGATAAAATTAATTAACTGGTAGCAAACTCTAATGCCATAACTCTGACATTTATCACTATTAAATGCTCACTGTAATTGAAATTGTTGATTTTCAGAGTTCTGGCACTTTTTCTGGAATGGTCCATGCCAATCAAAACTGCTTAAAGTCTAATTTCCACCTAAGGTAGAATAGCACTAATTTAGCTGTTTCTACAGCAGTGCTCAAACTCACAACAGCAAAGCTTAATGTTACGCTGGGGAAACCTCTACTGCAAAGATGAAGGAAGAGTTCAAGTCACACTTGGCATCCCCAGCTGAGCTGAATCTCCCTGCCTACTGCTGCCCCTGAACTCTGCTCAAAGAGCAGCCACAAAGGCTCACTGCAGATTGCATTTTACAGATTTATTTTTCTCCTGGGTTTGCAGTACCCAGTGAATAGAGCCCCAAGCATAAAAGTACTACATAAATCTTCAAATACATGTCACAAACATTATGAAAATTTGAGTCACAACCTTTCATTTTCTAAGAGGGATCTACACTAAGAAAATTAATGTGCTGATGGTGGGGAAGCATTTAAGACTGTATTCTACAGTCTTTATTGCACAAGTTGTTTTGTTGCACCCAAGTAACTGTTGCCCATTAAGTCCACAGGCTGAGCAGAAGAATTACCTAATACAACCAAGCATACTGAATAGGCAACAGTCACTACAGTGAACTTTAGAATCCCTCTTTCTGGAAGAATGAAAGGAGCGAGGTACAAAATACACTAACTTAAACATTTCAAGAAACTACAGCATATGTAAAGTATATGTAAAGTTGCCTTCTGTCAGTTTTAACCTCATAATCTAATACAAACCTGTTATGGATCTGTTTCCCTGTATATTTTATGTACTTAGTCTTCTCCATCAACTTGGTGATTAGTGTCTCAATGATAACTTTCTGGTTCTGAAAAGCTTCTTCTATAAACTGGTACCTGTAGTAAAAAGAAGTGAGGATTTACACATGTAAAAGGTGTTGTATAGTTGCTAAAAAGCAGAGTGACTTACAAAATAATACTTCTTTAATTGAAGAAAGGAGCTGTGTAAATCCGAAACTTAACTGTCATCATGGAAACATATGTCAGCAAATGCTTATATATTTCATTTATAGTACATTTAATTTTACCATCTATTTCCTATCACACTGGAGTAAGAATTTACGATTTTCATAAATACAAAATGATATTGTGTGACATAGCCTAATTTTAGCAAAAGAAAAAGTAATGTTTTGAGGTAGTCATCACTTTGAATGTGAAAATGCAGGTAAGCTATTACTTCATGCAAGACAAGGATGCAGAAATAGAAGAGATTGCTGAGTTGGTAGAAGTTGGTAACATTTTAAATCAAGGAACCAAAATCTTTAGGGTGGCACATTATAAAAGGGATATAAATACTAAGAAAAGGAGAATAAAAGAGGAAGACTGCAACTCTGCAAGAGCAATGTTTAGCCTGTTCCAAGGAGCACCGGTGGCCAACACTTCTCCACCTACTGACGTTCACCTGGTCAGGCAAGCAAGCTCTTTGGGTGGTTGCATCAGGTATAGCAAATATATTAATATTTAACCAGAGTGCCTCTGCCCCAAAACATGACAGTATGTGTTAACCAGCAAGATTTTTGTCTTGCACTCAGAAGTTGTATATAATTCTGCTTTTCAGCTTCAGTGACCAGTAAGAGATGACCAAAAGAACAGCGACACAAAGATTTGAGTGTTATAGTGTTGTCAAAGTCCAGTATTAGCCAAACTGTAGGTTAACTCTTCCTCTGAAAGAGCTCTTCACAGAAAAAAGAATTCCCATTTTCTCCATTCTGAAACAGTTTGGTAATGTTGTTATATAATCTTGTTGAATGACAAATGGAGAAATTACACATAAGTGAACAGTTGCATAACACAGCCCTGGTGTTTTCTAAGGACTCTCTGAAGATCTGCATAGCAACAAATTCTGACCAAATAACTTGACTGTAAAAAAGGTCTTGTGCTCAAGTCACCAGATTAACAATGGGAAGAATTAGGTTTTATGCTAAATGTAACAGACACTCATCAATCACATTCTCTGGGATACAATCTCTGGTTTTTGTGAGTTTCGTGTCTGAGCAGAAAATTTTAGTTTACACTTTTTCCACCTGACTGTGTTCTATACAGCTAGAACTAGATTGCCTGAATCTACTTCAGGCTACCCTCCTGTGAGATGGATAAAATACACACTTTGCTTTGATACCTGTGCTCTTTGTGCTCTAGTAACTGACAGTCTCGGCAGGTCAGCTTGTCACAGGTTTCACAATACAACTTCAGCTGCTCCTTTTTGTGGTAAGGGCAGAACACTGGTCGCTGACTGGTCACACCAGCTGCCTCTGTGGAATAAAGGAAGACGTTAGTACAGTCTACCTGAACTGGTTCAAGATTTGCATTCTCCTGTTTTTCCTTAGATGTACAAGTGTGTATCAGGTCCCTCACTGAGATTATAACAGCCATAAGCTCAAACTGCGATGTCTCACTCTTGCTCAAGCATGAGCTAGCACCCTCTCTAACGGAAAATGTCTACAACCTATTTTAACATAATTTCTTCTGACCTCACAAAACTATTTACAAAAGGAATAACCACTACTCCTGCAGCTGCAAAAGACATTGCACAATCAGCAAGCTCCTTTCTTAAATGGAGGTGAGGAGGTGGTTGACTTAATTTGTGCTCTGTCTTCTTTCTCAGCTCACTTGGTGGAAAGGGGTTTGAGGACATCAAGACATGGACATTCAAAGTGTAGAACATACAGAATGTAATAGCCAGGAAATATGAACTTCCCTTCAGGACCCTATTCTAAATGGGTGAGAGGTCTCATTCAGATTCTAGTGAGCAAGTATCAAAGGGTGCAGGAAACACCACATCACAGAAACTGAATCTGTTTCTTTAAACAATTTAACTGACTAAGCCTGATTTCCTAGGAGTTAGGTTGGACACTGAGTTCATAAGGATTATACAGCCTGTAATGAAAACTGGCTTCACACTGCAACCCATTCTTCACTGCAGATCAATAAGGTCTCTTTTCCATACCCATTCGTTTATTTATTTTCCAAAAATATGGAAGAAGTTATTTTCAGATCTGTATCCTTCAGTCAAAATTCTTTCCAACTCACCAACAGCCTCCCAAAGAGGCCTGAGTGCACTGAGGCCATTCCCAGCAAGTCCTGTTCTGCCTAACAGTCCACCAGCCACTTCTACCCACTTTTGTCCTCTCTTGAAAGTACACTCACTTTTGGTTAACCACGGGTGAAAGTGGGATACAGAATACAGCAAATATCTTCAAAGTACCATGGTGGAAGAAGACCCTTTGAGCAAGAGATTATCTCTTAGTACTAGATAGGGTGGAACTAAAATAAGTATATATTCTAATACATATATTTAAAATAATACATAACAATATCTAAAAATTATGTATTTACAAGAAAAATCATGTAAGTCCAATGGATGTATTAGAACCAGTAGAATGTTTGTCAGCATCCTGTAACATTTATTAACCTCCTTCAATGACACTAGAAGACAAGACACAGTGGGGGAAAAACTGAAACAAAAGAGGTTCTCAATGAACAGAGAAATACAACCTTTTCTACCATAGAGTAGTCAAAATTTCTCAGAGAGGCTGTACTGTACACCACATTCACCATTGTTGGTTCTCAGGGCCCAAATGGACAGTCCAGCAGGACGCTGGACTAGATGATCTCCTGAGGTCCCTTCTAGCCCAAATTATCATAGATCCTACTGAGGAAAAATGCCCCAATTCAAAATATACTTCCCTTACATTTCTAAGGCAAAACATTTCAAGCTCAAAAGACACTTAGCTAAAACATGAATTTTGGCTGGCTTTTCATCAGAATGCTGAAAATATATAATCTATTAGTGCTCCTTTTCCGGCTGTATACAACAATAAAGCTCATATTAACCATTTATTAGACCTCTAGTAAAACTACAGAAACCAAATGCCTAAAGAAGTATTTTCTGCAGCTAATCTCTAAAGTCTAGACAATAATCTGCAAGCACAATCCATGTGGAAGATAAAATCTATATGAATTTATTAGTTTACAACATGTTAAATTAAAAAAAAAACAAAAAAAAATCCCCGAAAACCAAAAACAAAACAAAAAAAAAAACAAACCAAAACAAACAAACAAACAAAAAAAAACCCAAAAAACCAAAAACCAAACCAAACAAAAAAAAAAACCACCCCAAAAACAACATAAACCACTATTCAGCTTATGTGAGACAAAAAAATGGCAGAACACCAGCTTTCAAGTTACCACTTTTTTTTTAAAAAGTGTGTTGGTCCAGTGTAACTTTCCAATGTAGACACAAATTCTTTGTGAAATTATAAATATGTTACCTGGAGATACTTCTTCTTTCTGCCTCACAGTATGATCCTTTGTGAATTTAACCCTCTGGTGAGCTCTGATGCAGGTCTTACACAACCACTCTACACATTCCACACAAAACCCATGAGCTTCTGCATTGTCTTCACAGCTTGTGCAGACCTGACAAGAGGAAGAAAGGTAGCTGTTAAAATAAGTTTGGAATATACACACAGGTATGCATACATCAGTGCAGTTTAATAGTCTTCTGAAAATAGTGAAATGAGAACAGGAGTACCTCCTTGAGGTACAGGAACATTATAAACAACAGCACACAAGTAACTGAATATGACTTTTCAAAGAAACAGGTCATTTTGTCAGTGTAACCCTAAAATCTTTGCTTGACATGATAAAAGTCAGAGCACTACTCTCTGCCATTCCCTGCACACTTAGAAGCCAAACAATGTTTACTGCATACCAGATGCTGTGAAATATTTACTAATGACAGAACACAAGCAACACTATTCTGATTTTAGAAGCCTCCCTCAGTTCACAAAGCAGCTTTCATTTGAGCTTCCAGTCACCTGCTTGGTTTCAGGAAGAACACACCATACTGAGCAGCAAGGTTCCTCAGAATCTTAGCATCACCTCTTAAAGACACTATTCCAGTTAAGTTTGTCAAAAAAGCTACCCCAGAACAATTTACAACCAATGCACAAGAACTGTGGCCTGTTAACCCTTGGGGCTCTTTGGACTACACTCAAGAGACTTAGGAAAAAGAAATAATTAAGGAAAACAAATATGTCAGCAGAACAAAACCTCTCTACACAGAGTAAATATTATACACAAGAAAAAACTGCTACAGTACCACAATATGAACAACAAGTTGAAAACTTTGAATGATGGACAACACCATTTCACACACTCATAATATAATTTCATTTTTACCCCTCCTTTACAATGCCTCTGTAGTCCTACCTTCAATGGGGTTTTGGTAGTAAAACATAGTGAGCATGCTTATGTAGTACTGGTTTAGGTAACAACCACCCATTTCTGGCAATGTTTAGCACTGCTGCAGACCAAAGCCTCAAGGTGTCTGAAGATTGCTACATCCTACAGATCACAATGACAGATTTCTGCTCACAGGAGCAACAAAGAGACAATTTTAGGTTTTGGTTTTGTTTTCAGTGTGATATAAAAAACCTCAACCAAACAACTTCTGTACCCACACAAGGTAAATATAGATTAAGTTAAAGAGGAAGGAAATATTTATATCTCATGCAGATAAAAAATATATACATAGAACTATGTTCCAGTTTCCCCTTCAGGAAAGAAAGGAAAATTAGTACAAAATTTGCCTTAGGCCACATAGCAAGTTACTGACAGAACTGGAATATGAAAATGAGTTCCAGATTCCCAATGCTGTGCTTATGCTTCTGAATCATGTTACCTCTCAAAGCAAAAGCAAGTATCTTCTTAGAAATGAAGTTACAACACAAGGGCTGTTGACCCCCCTTGTTGTCACTTGGAGTTTGAAGCAGTTTCATTAAAGGTGACCTGCAAAGGACAAAAAATTGGGCTTGTGCCCCTTTTTCTGTTTCTTTACAAAATGAGGCCTGAAAGTTTTCTATTTCAAAATAACCTCAAAAATTTAACTTCTCCTTGGTTTTTATTTTTCTTCCCCTTCTTCTCTTAACAACAACAAAAAAAATCTTATTCCTATCCAGACCAGTAGATAAGGGAAAAATACCAAAGTCAGGACATCATTAAAAAAGTCTAGAAAATTGAAATAAAGCAATTAAAGGAAATGAACTGTAATCAGGAAATTGAACATTTTTGCTTTCTGTCTTGATTTCAGCTGGGATAGTGTGGGGGTTTTCCTTAGTAGCTGGCACAGTGCCGTGGTTTCAGATTTAGTATGAAAATAACACTGATAGCAACAACCATCACATCAGTTTGTTAGGCAGTGCTTACACAAACTCAAGGAGTTTTCAGCTTCCAATGCTCTCTGCCAATCAGCACATTCACAAGGAGGGAGTGTGGCCAGGACAGCTGACCTCAACTTCCCACAGGGATATTCCACACCACAGAATATCATGCTCAGCATATGAACCGTGGGGAAGCACCAATCTCTGTTCAGGGAAAGGCTGGGCACTGGTCAGTGGGTGGTGAGCAAATTTATTTAGCATCACTTGTTTGTCTCGGGCTTTACACCTCCCTCCCTCCCTCCCTCCCTCTCTCTCTCTCATTACTATTATTATAATAATTATTTAATACTACTTTGTTTCATTTATTACGCTGTTCTTAGCTCAGCCTACAGTTTTATCTCTTTTTTTCCCCCGATTCTCCTCCCCATTCCACTGGAGATGGGGAGGGAGGGAGGAAATAAACTGAAAGAGAGAAGTAAAAAAGGCTGCATGGTGCTTGGTTACCAGCTGGGGTTAAAGTGTAACACTTGTTATTAACCCTTAAATTCAATGACATTTTGAAAAACAATGAAACAAATTTTAAACTATTCTGAATTCTTGGGGGGAAAAAATCCTCTCCTTCCTTTCTCTTCAGTCAGTTGTCTCCTCCTTTTTGTGCCAGTGCAACTCTCTGCAAGACTGAGATGCAAACCAGGACTGATTACACCATGGTATCCCAAGGCACAGTTACATCAGCAATTGCAGTATTGCATTTTATTGGAATGGTATGCTCTATCTCACCCCTCCAAAATGTATGGTATATTCTAAGCCTGTCGTCCTGCCCTGAACCATCATGTATCCGTAATCCCATTGGCACAAATCTGATTCCACACCCACTTCAATTTCCCTCTTAAACTGTGCTATGAAATCAGCCACTCTCTTAGCCCTTCCGCTCTCTCAGCCTTTCCCCTCTCTTGCCCCTTCGCTCCCCTAGGCTCCCCGGCTCCCCCTCCTTTCCCCCTCTCCCTCAGTAACCATGCTGTTCCCGGGGGTGGGACCCCCAATAAACCCTCATCTGCTCAGCACCCTCAGAAGCCGTGTGGAGTCTCCTTGCCTGCCTGCTGCTGCCAGCCAGCTCACAGCCTGGGGGGCTCTCCGGGGACAGCCCGGGGTGCCCCCACCACAAAACGAACCACAACAAGCAATGCTGAGTGGAGAGTGAACTGAACAGGCAGCACAAGAAAGTTTTCACATCAGTCTTGTGGCCAGAGAGGTGTGATTGTGCTGCACCCCAAATACTCAAGACATGTTTTTGGAAGTCAGAGTGGAGAGTTACATACCGGGTATTTGGTTTTCTAGTGTAAATTAAAACAAACAAACAAAACCAAAAACAACAACAAAAGAAAACCAGCCCTAAAAACAAAATAAGCAGAGAAAAAGAACAAAAAAGGCTTTCAGGCATTCTCTACATCAAAGCAAAACAAAAACGAAAAACCAAAAAAACCCACCCCAAAACAACAACAACAACAAGGCAGGAACCAAATTAAAAGCAAAACCAACCAACCAAACTCCCCACAACAGCCTTTCCAGATCACCTTTAGCAAAATCAGGCAGATAAACATGGCAGGACATTTAGGTAATTAATTCTCCCTAGATTCCAAGAGCTTCATCTATTTTCTTTTTTCAATATGCTTTAGTTGGGTTTTTTAACTGTTTTGACCTGCTGTATGTGGAATGAGATGAAAATTGTGATTCAATAACCAATAATCAGGTGCTGCCAGAAGAATCAAAACTCCTCCTTTGTAGTATCAAAAATACATATCCCCACCTTTATACTCTTCAAATCCATCAAGTGGATACAAGACAGATTTCTAAAGCTTTACATAGACGTCGTAACTCAAGCTGTCAAAACAGCAATGGCTTCTAGGTAGCATCAGATTTGTTCCTATCCACTTCGGCTTTGACATACACATTTTCAGATGTAGGTTGGATTTTGCTAGAATTCCTACTTATTACATTAAGCCATACAGCTAAAGCATATGGAAGTACAATTACTGCAAATATTTGTTATGCCCTTACAAAACCTAAAACTCATTCTTATTTTGGTAACTCACACAAGCAGTGTTTCAGTGATTTCAAAGAAAACTCTCCCTAGTTAATCTACAAGCTTTTATTCTGGTCAGGCAGACATTTATTTTTAGTTGAGTTTTCCTTGTAATTACATTTAATTCAGTTACAAGTTCTATATTTATAACCCCAGGAAGTGTTCATTCAGCCTTCAGTCAAATTTAAAGAAAGGAGAAATTACTCAGCGTGTTGCAGGTAAGTAGTATTTTAAGAAAATACACAAGATTTTATGGCAGAAAAAACACATTTACTTGCAAGAGTTGAGGTAACAGACCTGTCTTCTCAGCTCCTGTAATAAATAACCATTCTTCCAATTAAACACACTTTGAGTATTGAAGAGATTAAATAATCAAGCAAAGGTTTCAAAGGAAGAGAGCAAAGTAGTCCAGATGAATATTCAGTGAACTCCAAACTTCACCAATGTAAATTAGATGCAATGCTTTCCCCCACTGGATCCAAACCTCACTAATGCAACCTCACTTACACAACTATCTCCTGGCACATACAAAATCACGGAAGACAGAAGACTATACGTAATTCCAAATATGAACCATGTACTGACAGCTCAAAATGCATGAAATCCTTCTTACCCCACCATCCCATTAATATCCACATCTCTTCAAAGCGTACAAGAGCATATTGTGACTCTTCCTGAGTCTATCACCCACCTCCATAAACCACTGGATTTCAGAGATATTTTGGTCACAGGTACAGCTTTAATAGGCTGTTTGAGCATAATGAAACACACAGTGGTTCCTCTGGCACCATACAAACTTAAACTTATTGCTCTAAATTCTCCTTATTAATCACCTCATTATGGCAGTCAGACTTGCTTTCCTAATATCTGGATCTAGTATCAGATCTAAGCTGATACCTTGTTTTGTTACTACATTCCTGTTGTGAATGAAGTTCTATATGTCTAATTAATAAACAAAAAAACTGAATTTAGCAGCAGTTTTAATTGAACAGCAATTTTATATAAATGAATACAATCCAGTATATTAAATATAATAAAGCATATACAAAAATTTGGGAGTGATTAATTAAGTATGATTAAGGTTCATATAAAGCATAAGCAAAACTGACCAGGGTACAGGGAGGGCTTCTCACCCTGCCTCACATACAAAACAAACTACACTTACATACTGTATGCTAATACATATTCATCAATAATTTTCCATAAATCTCCTCCTATTTTTGATTCTTGAACTCTACATCACTATACTGCATAGCGCATGCTCCACTTGTTGCTAGGGGGTCTCCTGGCTTTTTGGTGGTCTTTTCAGAGGAAGGCTCATCGTCTTCCTCGCTACCCTCTGAATAATCTGGCAAGTTGCAGATGTGCATTAAGCTTTGTGTTATGTAAGCAAGCATTATATTCCAAATAAGCCTTATTATTTCATAGATAAAACCACAACTTAGATTCCACACCTGGAATAGTCCCAACTTTGTTCATCACAAGGCCATTTCTGTTTTGGGATCTTGCTTATCTCAACACTACATCCTGTATCCTGTTTTTCACATGTAACATCTGCCAAGGGGCCCATCTGCTTTGTAACACTAATCACATATACTTTTCCTTTATTATTTTATAACAATTATTTTCTAAAATATTGATATAGTTACAATTTAGTTAGCATGAATCATATCCATTTATCACAATTCCCAACATCTCACAAAAAACCCATTCTTCATTCCTAGTACAATATTTTAAATTCTCAGATCAGAAACTGGTAAAGATACAGAAAATTATTCTTACCATCAAAAATATTTTTACACACATTCTGTTTTGGACACAAGAGCTATGGGAATTAGAACCTATATTAAAATGCACTAGAGGCTCAGTGTGCTTCACCAACTCCCATGTTATCACTAAGGTCCTCTCTCTTGCATCAATCTCACATTTCTCATTTTTATTTTCATGGCTTTGCATACACCATGTTCTTCTGTTAAAGTCCCTAAATTTCCCTCACTTGATTAGAATAAGACCCTTTAGTCTTAGTCTAATCTAATCAGCAACATCTCTTAGGTCTTAAGTCCTTTTCTGCTCACTCTTATGATGCATAATTAATTTTTATTTTCAAACTTCTCTTTAGAAGCTGATAATTTTGCCAAGTCTTTCAATAAATCACAATGTGAAAAAAAGTTATAAAGCATCTGCTCTTTCAAAGTATTTATATCCTAGTGCTGCCCACAACCTACAGAGTTACTGCATTTCCTGTGAGTTTCTTTTCTTTTGCAAAGTTTCCTATGCTAATAGCCAGCACAAAACCTTTAATGCTACCCAGAAAAGCTCTTGTAGAACACGTACTAGGGAATTCGAGTTCTATACTTTCTTTGTGCTCACTTCTTGTGCTCCTGAAGTTTTCAGCAGAAATTGCTAGAAAGCACAGCTATGCCAGTAGTGTATTGAACTGCCCAAATCAGGCTCAGGAAAGATAAACATGATTATAGATAGATGGACAGAACTTTCATGGGTTCCAGTTATTTTTCTCTTCCCACAATGCCAGCTCCGTGATATGCCATTCACTCCTGCAGTTTTAATTCAGTATGCTAAAAACTGCTTTAGCATTAGTACTATTTTGAATCTGAAAAAATCAAACATTTCATTTGCAAGAGGTCTTTTGCAGTCTCTTTTGGATTGAAATAAAACAGTCCTTCCTGCCAACACACATATAAGGCTAATCAGATACAGACCAGTGGTTCTAAGCTACAATAATATTTGCACAAAACCCATGCCTTGTTTCCAATTCTAATTTCTTAATCGTTCAAATAAAGCTGCAGAACTACTTAAGACAAATTAACAATCTCAGTAAAAAAAATCCTATAAAATAGCCACCGTTTTGGATAGTATTTGGATGATCTCTGATGTAGTATTTCCTGCAAGTGTCAGTATCTTTTCTACTTTAATTTCTCTGATCTGTTGCCTATGCTAATGGCAAATTTTCTTCCTTTTCTTCTTGCTCCTTCAAAGGCAAAACAAGACAGGCTGATTAGAAGGCTGTATCATCGTTAAACCTCATAATATTCAACCTGGGCAGTACACTAATCAGTTTAACTATTATTGATTTAACCTTGCTGTTCCACAACAGACATTTACAGAACAGTGTACCTTTTTTCTTATGTCAAGGTATAAAGGAATGTATAAAAAGTTTCATTATGATACCAAAACAAATCTATCCAAATGAAGAAAACTGCACATCATTAGTTTCCAAGAGGTAAGGTCCAAACTCACTTAGCAGGCATCTAACAAAACATCTAGCTTCATCTTTTCAGAAAAAAGTCAGCAAAAAAGCACATGAATGTCCTATTCTGCTGGTTCAGCAACATCTGCTGGTCTGCCTTCAACTGCTACAGAAAGAGTGCTGAGTTCAACCAAGGACCTTAGCTGAAGAACAGACTTGCTTTCAAAGTGCAAACCTACTGATTTGTGTCAGGGAGAGGGAGAAACAAATATGGAATGGAAGAGTAAGACCAAAGTCTAGAAGGGATTTGAAGGAAACATTTATGTTTTCAAGAACCTCCCTGACATTTGTTCACACCACGCAGTGAATGGAATTCTCCACTTAACTTTCACAGGAAACAAAAAAATATTGTGAGGGGAAAGAGGGAGTGATCAGATACTTCAAAAATTGGTTACTACTCCCAAGGGAAAAATAGAATCCATTTCTATCACCACTCCCCAAAGCAGTATCTTCAAGGACTTGTTATATAACTAAGTAGAGGTTATGGGACAGCCCCACCCTCTCAAAAAAAAAAAAAAAAAATTTTTTTACAAAAAAAAAAAAACAACAAAAAAAAAAACCCAAACATTTAGGACTGCTTCTGCCTAACATTATTTGCTATCTTGCTTCTCTTCCTAATTTTAAAGTCACTATAAAAGCTATGATCAAATTTTCAACAGGGACTACTCATTTTGTCAATCTTACTGGTACAGTACTGAGAGACCGTATGAATCTCACAACCATCTGCAAAATTCAGATATTATCCTGCAATTCCCAGGGGACAAACAAGAAACAAACACTTCCCTTTGCCAAATCCAAAAAAAGCCAAGTTCAAACAGGGCTACATTACAAGAACACAGCTTGTACTTCCAGCAACTGCTTCGGTAAGGTCTACATTTCTCAGAAATCCAGTGTCAAAATTTGTTAAAATCTGAACAGTTTAATGGCTTGCACGACACAAGTTCTGTTCCTTAGATATATGATGACACCACTTATGCCTTCAATAGCCAGCAAGTTGGTATCACAAACCTGACTGGCTCCTGTCATCTGCTCCCAAGAGATGTGGCTGTTCCCACACACAAGCACAAATTCCAGCTAAGCCTTGAAAGGAGCAGAATGCACATCACAGGACCTCTAAGACACTGCCCCTGAAGCAAACAGCTCAAGAGCCAATGACACAGTCCCCCCTAAAATGGGAAAGTGAAAAAGAGGAATTTTCAAAATAAAAGGAGACCACCATCCAAATATTAGGGCATGAGTTGGAATGCAAGCCACACTGATATGGCAACCTTCCTGTACTCTTCTTATGAGGAATGCAGCAACATACAAAGAGGCTGAATTATTTACAGTAAGTTTCTGCAGTTTAATAAAAAGTCCATGAGTAAAGAGATGCATTAGTTACTCCTTTACTAGCTAAAAATGAAGACATGCATTATTTTGCTAACAGAGATTGTTCAATTGTGATCCTACACAGATGTGACTATTTGTTTTGTATTGCTTCCACACTAGCCTCCTGAAAATAACATCATGAGAAAAAAAGCCCAGTATTACTGTTCTTCCAGATAACTTTTATGAGATGGCTATTACTTGACTGCAAAAGGAAGAAGAGGCAGCCTACATAAGGAAAACAAACAAGAAACCCCTACAATATACCATCCTCCCCAACTAGCATTTTGAGCCTCTTCCTTGGCAACAGGACTCCAGCTATTTAATGCCAAGTTTTGTCAGTAATGTGATAAAGTCCATTTAGATCTCCTAGTGTAGTGTATTCAAGTCTTTGTTTCAAAAAGTGCTTCAAGTACCCTGTTCAAAGAACAGAAATTCCATTCTAATGCCTATTCCTTACATTTATCTTTTGCTATTAAGAGGCAAGTTTATATCAACAATTAAAAATAGTATAGAGTAATATAACCACCTTCTTCACATTCTTTTTCATACATTTTAACTGATTTTCTAGAGTAGCTACCCCATGTGATGTCTAAGTAGTTGAAGTTCTGTCTGCATATGAAGAGCAAAAAGGCTACACAGCAAGAAGCCAAGGATATGAACACACATCCAAAAGGTGTTAACTTGATTACATGTTAATGCACTTACCTGATTTGATTTCTCTACTGTGCTACTGGGAACCTCTGTGGTATCCTTCACAAAAAAGTTATCTATGATGTGTCTCTCTGCACATTCCTGACCACAAATTGGACAGCGGATAACACCGACTGGGGGGAAAAAAGAAAATCTGATTATGCTTGCACAAGCTAAGATATATTAAACAACTTCAAAGACAACTTGCAAGGATAAATATTTTTGAAAGGATGTTATACCACTTTCCTGTCAATAAGGTGTGAGCTAGAAAAAGAAAATTCTCATTTATCACTGAAGTAATGTTTACTTGTTCTTCACTGATGACATATTCTATCACCCAAGGTCAAACACTTTCTTGTTTCAATGCCATAAGGAATTTACCTTAATCTTATAAAGAAATAATTGTTTTACTACAAAGGGAATGTATTCCCATTGATGATTTGTTGCTATAGAATAGATTAAAGTAAACACTTCTAAGTGTGGAATATTAATAAGGGAGTGGTATTACATACACACACACACACCAGCAGTGTGACGTGACTGACCTAGATCCATGTCACGTGAGAACACAAATGTAGTACATTCAAATTTAATGAGGTGACTTGTAGAGAGGAAAAGTTGACCTGTATTAATATCATTATTACCTTCACATTAAGCAAGAGAAAGCAATAAAAACTTAGGAATAAATAAGCAGGGCTCTCTCCCTCCTCTCCTCTGCAAGACACAATGGGGTACAATTCTAAGACAAACATAGTTAGGCTCCAGTTTGAAGAAAGCTGAGAGCCAGTAACACAAAGGGTTAAACAATTAGTCTTTTCAACAGAATGGAAAGGACAAAGTAAAGTTCAAAACTTGGGGTTGAACTGTGAGTAGAACTAGGTTGAAATGGAGAAGATCTATACAAACATTTTTAAGCAGACACCTTTTCTAGCTGCAGAAAATAAAAATGTCCTATTATCACTGAGGCTTGTTTTTAACATCCAAGAAAAATCTCTAAAATGCTAGGCACTGATATCTTGCTTGAAGAAAATTACCGTAGTCATTACAACCAAAAAAGGAAGCAATTGAAACTAAGGCTGAAATAATAATCATATTATGGACATAGAAGTCACATGCAAAAAGCCTACAGTAGAACAGTCATGCAAGTCTACACTGACATAGATTCTAGACCTTCAACTCCCATTTGAGAGGAAACATAGATTTAGGGCCTTAAAAAAGATCTGTTTAACCCAATGAATTCAACACCAGTATCTAACTCACCACTTGTATAGTTAACTAAACTAGCATGGGCTTAAAGTGGTTTCTGTTTCATTTTTACAGTAAAATGTAAAAGTACAGAAACTATTAAATATTTTACTTTCTGCAGGAAAACTTAATTCCTTACTCTAATTGCTTCATACAAGATTTACGTAACTTTTTCACTAGATTTTTCCAACAGATGTTCAAGGTTTAACTGGCAACTCAGTATAAAGCAGTGCTGTAATAAAACTCCAGCCATTTTACTAAAGCAATTCTTATTCCGAAAAATTAGCAAGCAGTTTTTCACTTGTTATCAAGGCATTTCACTTTCATCTGAACAGCTATGATGTTAAGCCTGATTTTACTCTAAGTGCCATTTTACCAGTCTGCATTTCAATACACATTTGCACAGTTTCCTTTGATATACAAATTCCATTTTTTGGCTACAACTTTTGTAACATTTTTTATATCATCATCTGCAAGGATAATTGAGAAATTCTGTTCTGGTAAGTCAAGTAGCTAGCAAAACTGCAAGTACTGAATTTCTTCTGTAATTAAGCAAATCAATTTACCACAGTCAAGAGTGAACACATCTCCCCTAATACTCAAGCTACACACTTTCCAAAAAAGACTATTTTTTAAATTTTTCAACAGCACCAATTACAAACCATCCTCTCCCTGTTCCCTCACTGCTCATTCTTGACCCTGCTAAACACAGGGCTCTGGGTTAATACCAAAATAAGCTAGGGAGGAAACTTTGAAACATAATTTGAAGTACTAAAAAGCAGGCATTCTTTATTGCAGGACACTGGACACACAGAGGTTATTTCCTCTACTCTGATGTGTCGCAAAACTTTACAAAAAAAAAAGATATTTATTCCATCATGATCATAAATACTGATTACAGTGTACTTCCTGGCTAATACATGCACATCACTTTTTCTAGAACTAATTTGCATGCATCTACCTCTTAGTAAGAGTAGTCCTTTTATATTCCTACAGGGTCCCCTGAAGGGGTCTCTGGTGATTGTATTCCCTGAGAGTCCCCAGTGTTACAGGTGACCTTTCCTTGAATTTCTGTTAAGGCATGCATTGTTGCCTCTTGTTACGTAGCTACCACAAAACCCACTGTATTCCTCATTATCTGTTTATCCACTGGTTCCAGCTACGTGGAACATCCTGTGTGCCTACTTGTTCATTATTTAATCTACTTTAAAACACATTGTTCTCTTACTTGGACAAGTAAGGCATCATTATGTTCTGTTCCTTTTATCAAGGTCAACACAGGTGTCTTGAGTTGGTCTTTGCATGTGTTTCGGAGATGAGTATAGACACAGAATGAGACTGGCAAATATTCAGGCATGGATGTATTTTTCCTGCTCTCCCAAGTTTTACTTTCATCCCCTGCTCTGCTTCACTCACCAAATGCACTACTGACTACAGTGAAGCAACATGAGAAGCAGCACAAGGATGGGAAGAGGACAACACCACCACTACTGAAGATTAAACATGGAGCTACTGAAGAAGATCAGCAGCATTAAGCAGGGTTTGTAAGTCAGCTTGAGTTGAAAATATGGAAGACAGGGAAGGGGAGGCAAGAAATTAGGAAACATACCAAGACAAACAAAATATTTCACATGCCTTTTCATCAACAATATTGCCAACTACCCGTTCAAGAAATCACTTAGAATTTCTAGTGTGACATGGGAAAAGGGGGGAAAAAAGGAAAAATTGCCTACAACTCTCAAAATCTTCATGAATTTTCTCTTCTAGAATTCCTTATGCTTTCTAGCCTTATGTCAGGGGTTTCTTCTGCCACTGTGTGAAGGTAAACTTGCTTTTGTTATAATCCTGGATTGATGACTCACAAATCAAATCAGTTTTAACCCAGATTTAGTCAACTTCGGGATGGAGAATTTAAGCAAAAAATCTCAAGTATCAGGGTTTCCAGTAGTGAAATAATTCTATAAGATTCTTATTTTTCTTTAATGAAGCAAACACAGGAAGGGGAAAACATATGACTTAAGTTGGGAGGAGTTTCATAATCATCATCATGACAATTGTGAGGATAGTGAGCGAGCAGATCCCACATTTTTCTCTGTTCCTATGTTCCAGGTGTAAGGAGTTAACACAGTTGCGTGTCTCAAACACTGTCACAGCCACAGGTTGACTTTGCCATGAGATAAGCACAGAATGGAGTGACAAGCCTGGCAGAGGTGAGACCTGGTTAGCTCATTCTGGGTAATGCATCTGGACAAAAATTCCCACTATGGAAATGTGTATAAAGAAGCAACTGCTCGTCTGCAGATCACTGGTCAAAGAAAGATCACCCCAAGTTCTGAAACAGCTGAAATCTGTGACCACCACCAACCACTGAAGCCACCTGAAAATGGCTCCCTGGATACCTGGAACTTGGACTGTAAGATAAGCCACCACAGCAGGAACCTGAGATAAGATAAAAGGGGTGCTGTTGTCTGAGTATTATCTCAGATCTAGGGAGAGGTTAACAAAGCTGGGGGAGAAGAATGTCACACAACTGCAGAATTTATGGGCCACAAGGAAAGCCAGCTCAGCAACTGTACTGAAATCAGCCTGGACTTGGTAAAAGTAATTCCAGGCAGTGGGAGATCGACCACCAACTCAAAGAGGAAGAGTACATGGAGTGCAAGGACTAATTAGCATTAGAAGCAAAGGAATCAATTAACCAATAGAATAGTAGCACTGTGTAGCCAATGAGCAGTAATTTGTTTCTTTGCTAATATGTATGAATAGTGAAAAGACCCAGAGAATACCAGTAGCGAGAGAAGCCGAGAGTGAAGAAGAATCAAAAAGACACCACTGGATCTGTAGGTGGTGACTATCTTCTACCTGATCTCTCTTTCTGCTCTCTTTTCCTTCTACCTTTCCTTCTATTTCTTTCTACCTTTCTCCCTGACATTCCATGTTAAATAAACTCTGTATTATGGACTTCAGCGTATGATCTTGTTTGCCCCTTAATTTGGGCAGAGGCACATCTCTTAGCATCAGGAGGATTGTTTTTTCAGCTGTAAAAGGAACTGGATCATGCCCATGTGGCTCTTAAGTAGAAGACCTCCACCTTTCTGAGCAGCATTCTTACAAAAACCAAGCAGTTGTGAAACATCACATTCAGATTTTGCTTGAACCAGGCCAGGACACCACAATGCTAACAAAAGCAACAATGCTGGCTCCCCTGCTCATTCATTTCTATCCCACGACAACAGAAAGATTTGTGCTGCCATGCACTGAGCTGGATTAGGGACTGCAATATTGATTCAGTGGGGCTGTGCCAGGAGAGGAGAGTGTTTCCCCCCACTGTCTACAGGCTCATAACACATGCACCTCTTTCAAGGAATGCTAAACCACATTTTAGGTAGGAAGAATCATGTCCCATTTTTAGTCTTCTTTACATGCTGCATGCACAAGGGCATCCCATGCCATTCAGTGGAATGGATTTATAGGTGATACAGTATTATTTCCAACTCTAAACTCAATTTCCTGGGAGTACATTCAAGACCACTAAAGCATCCTGAGACAATAGGAAGAGACTGCTCTGGTTTGCCCCAATTTTGACTCATTTGCGTCTTCACTGTTGCAAACAGGTTTCAGAACCAATTTAATAAAGCCACTGGATGATCATTTGTAGATCCAAGAGGGTATTTTTGTTAGTAGATGCAAAGTGCTTTACTAAAGGGGGATTTAATAGTTCCTTTTCTTCAGTCAAAAAGCCAAGTAGTTTTCTGAACGAGAGCTCTCTATTAAACAGAGTGCTCAAAAGCAACTGGCAATTTTACCTGCAACGACATAGTCATTACAGAATAAATAATTAGAGTTTCATACAGCAATCCTTCCCAGTTTTACAGATGTTTTGCTTTAA